TTTTTCTTAGGGACATCGAACTCCCTGAGGCGTCACTAGAGGGCGCTCAGCCCACAGCAGCAGCAGCAGCAACAGCAGCAACAGCAGCAGCAGCAGCAGCAACAGCAGCAAGAGGCGCTGCTGCGCCACAGCGGGGGACTGCGAAGGGCATTGGGGATCGTCTCCAGGGAGACGATCCCAGCTGTCTCCCTTTTATATCGGACAGCGCGTGAGGGGCGTTATAGCTGTTCTTGTGTCTCCTTTGTTTAGCTGTTGTCTCTTCTTTTTTCTTTACTTTTGTGTTGTCCCCTGTCTCCTTTGCTATTTCTTCTTTTGTTTTATTTTGCTGTTGTCTCTTCTTCTTCTGTCCCCTCTGCTGTTTAATCTTCTGTCTCTTTTGCTGTCTCTTCTTCCTCCGTCTCTTTTGCTGCTGTCTCTCTTTTTCTGTCTCCTTTGTTTTCTCTTCTGCTGTCTCCTTTGTTGTCTCTTCGTCTGCTATCTCTTTTGCTGCTGTATCTCTTTTCTGTCTCCTCCGCTGTTTAATCTTCTGTCTCTTTTGCTGCTGTCTGTCTCTCTTTTTTGTCTCCTTCGTTGTCTCTGCTTGTTCTTCTGTCTCCTCCTCTATCATTGTCTGTCTCTCCGTTGCTACGAGCTGTTTGTTTGCAGTCCCCCTCTACTCTCTCCTGCTTCTGCTGCTGCTGTTGCTGCTGCTGCTGCTGCTGCTGCTGCTTGTGCCTGGCTTTGTCTGTTTGATAATGTATTTGTTTATTTGTCTGTTTTGTTGTTTATCAGAAAAATAAAAGAAATTATGAAGAGACACCCCAAGAACGAAGAGACAGTAGAAGAACTCCTCAGGGGATTTTTTCATGTGTGCTACTGCTGCTGCTGCTGCTGTTGCTGCTGCTGTTGCTGCTGCTGATGCTGCTACTGATGCTGTTGCTGCTGCTGATGCTGCTGTTGCTGTTACTGCTGCTGGTGCAGACGCTGCTGGCGCTGCTGCTGCTGTTGCTCCCGTTGCTGCTGCTGCTGCTGCTGCTGCCCGCTCGCTTCACTTGTTCGTTTGTTTCTTTTATTATAAATAATTAATTGATTAATTAGTTTATTTAATTTGTTTATTTTATTGATGCATTTATTATCTTTTTGTATATCTTTTCCCGACTTTATCTATTTCTCTGTTTTCTTCTACTTATTATATATTTATTTTTATATTTATATATTAATTAATTTAATTTAATTGATTAACTATTTGTTTATTTATTTATTTATTTATTTATTTATTTATTTATTTATTTATTTGCAGTTCTACGGGTACGCGTTGCCTCGTCTTCGTTGCGAAGGCTCTGTGGTGTTAGATTTGTATGACGCCTCTCTACATGTGGGGTCGGAGGAGATCGATCCCCGGCAGCTGCATGCATATGCTGCAGCACCAAAAGCAGCAGCAGCAGCAGCAGCAGCAGCAGAGACACAGGAGGGGCTCCTTGGGGGGCCCCCTAGTCTTATACAGGAGCAAAGAGAGACACTGCTGCAGCTGCATGCACGCAGCAGCAAACTATTTGCTGCGCTGCCCCGCTGCGCAGCCCTTGCGCAGCCCCTACCCTACACCAGCAGCACCAGCAACAGCAACAGCAGCAGCAGCAGCAGCAGCAGCAGGCTGTGCTTGGCAGCTGCTGCTCCTGTGCTGCTGATGAGGTGCCCGCTCTCGCGCTGCATAGTAAATCGCTTCAGCGTGCATGCCTGGGCCTCAATCCTTTCGGAGTTTGTAAGGGGACATCTGCTGCTGGAGTTGCTGCTGCAGCAGCAGCAGCAAGAGCAGCAGCAGAAAGATCAGCAGCAGCAGCCAAAGCAGCAGCAAAAGCAGCAAAAACAGCAGCAAGAGCAGCAGCAGCAGATTTCCTTCGATCTCCTCTTCAAACCGTTGGAGGTTGCACACAAGGACCGGGCAAAAGCAGGTTAGAAGTGCTGCTGCTGCTGCTGCTGCTGCTGCTGCTGCTGCTGCTGTTGCTGCTGCTGCTATTGCTGCTGCTGTTGCTGCTGCTGTTGCTGCTGCCGTTGCTTTTGTGATTTGTTTTTATTTTCTGTTGTTCGTTTGCTCTTGTTTTTTAATTATAAGCTGTACGGTGTACGTACACCTCACAACTGCTGCACTTTGCATGCGTGCGCTGCATGCAGACACTTACGCTTATAGGAGATTTGCTGCAGCACTGGCGAGGAGTCAGGGCCTCCTTCCGCACCCAGCAGCAGCAGCAGCAGCAGCAGCAACAGCAGCAACAGTAGCAGCTGCTGCTCCTGCACCAGCAGCAGCGAGAGCTGCAGCACGGGGCCGCTGAAACGCCTGGGGCTTTTAACATAATAATATTTATTTTTTGTTTAATTTATGTATTTGTTTATCTATTACTTGTTTATTTATTTATTTATTTTATTTGTTTATTTCCTTTTATTTATTTATTTATTGCTTTTTGTGTCCGTTCTTTATTTATTTGTTTGTACTCATTTATTTTAAATTATTTATTTATAACTGCGTTTATTTATTTATTTATTTATTTATTTATTTATTTATTTATTTATTTATTTATTCGCTGCATATTAAAGCATTTACTTGCTGAGCCTTTTTATTAAAAATGTTTGTCTTTGTTTTTTTTTGTCTTTCTTCGCTTTTATTAAATAAATAATAAGTCATTTGCATGCGACGCCGCTATCTGCAAACATCACCCTCTATATTCTCCCTCTGGCAGCAAAGAAGTCTCCGTTGCTGCTGTTGCTGCTGCTGCTGCTGCTGCTGCTGTTGCTGCTGCTGTTGCTCTCCTCCCGCGTGTCTCTCTAACAAGGCCCTGCATGCATGCATGCAATGCATGCATGCACTGGGGCTTGCTACACTGATGCTGCATACCTTAAAAGGAGGGGCTGCTGCAGTGTTGCTGCACCTTGCTGCCTCTGGCAAACAGCAGCAAACACGCCGATACTTGCTGCTGCTGCTGCTGCAGAAACAGCAGCAGCAACAGCAGCAAAAAAACAACAGCAGCAGCAACAGCAGCAGCAGCAGCAGCACGTTCAACTTCCTTTTGCTGCCTCCGCTTTTCTCTCCGCCTCCGACAGCACCAAATGCCACTCCTCAAAGACGCTGCTCATCATATTCATCTGCATGCACGCAGCAGCAGCAGCAGCAGCAACAGCCGCAGCAGCAGCAATTGATGCCGCAGATCAGTGTCACGGGGTATCAGAAACAGCAGCAGCAGCAGCAGCAGAAGCGTGAGTAGAAACAGCAGCAGCACCAGCACCATACGCGCAGCAGCAACAGCAGCAGCATTAGAAACAGCACAAGCTGCAGCAGCAGCAATCGCAGCACAAACAGCAACAGCCGCAGCCGCACCAGCAGCAGCAGCAGCAACAACAGCAGCAGCAGCAGTAGCAGCAGCAGTAGCGCACGGTTGTGTTGTATGTCTCTGCGAGGTTTTTAATTTTTGCTTCAATTGCTGCGACCTGTGCAGCAATTTTATTTCCGTTTGCTTCAAGCGCATGCATGCGGCGTTTGAAGTCCTCGAGGTCTGAATAAAAAGCCCCAAAACAAATAAACGCATGCAAACCGAAGCTGTGCATGCAGCAGCATCAAATGCATGCACCCAACACACATAACAAACACGATGCTATTGATGCTGCTGCTGCTGCTAAGAGCAGCAGCAGCAGCAACAGCACCAGAAGCAGCAGCAGCAGCACCATCTGAAGCAGCACCAACAGCACCACAAGCACCATCACAAGCACGCGAAGCAGCAGCAACAGCACCAGAAGCAGCAGCAGCAGCAACACAAGCAGCAGCAGCAGCAGCAGCAGGCGCTGCAGTGTGGGGCATTGTTTAGACAAACCTGAAAGACAAGGAGGATTAACAAACTGCTGCAGCCCCTCGAGTGCTCTTAACTGCGCTGCTGTTGCTAGCAGCTGCTCTTCCTGCTGCAGCACCAACTCTCTCTTTGCATGCAGCGTCAGCAGCAAACGAGCAGCAGAAGCAGGGCCCCCCTCCAGCCACACCTTCAACTCCGAATCTATCAAACAGCAGCAACAGCAGCAGCAGCAGCAGCAGCAGCAGCAGAGTGCGCAGGGGGAGAGGTAAGCCAGCTGCGGCAAGAGAGGAGACAATGCAGCAGCAGCAGCAGCAGCAGCAACAACAGCAACTGTAGCAACAGCAACAGCACCAACACCCATAGGAACGCGAGTTAGTTACTCCAGCAGCAGCAACAGCAGCAGCAGCAACGGCAGCAGCAGCAACAGCAGCAGCAGCAACAGCAGCAACAGCAGCAGCAGCAGGATTACATTTGGCGAGTACTTCCGCTAAGGAGCCTCTGAGTGCAACAGCAGTTTGCTGCTGGAGACTGCAGAGGGAGAGAACAAGAGAAGCAGATGTCTTAGGGTTTGCTGCTGCTGCTGCTGCTGTTGTCTCCTCGCCCCGCCCGATGCCTTCAGCAGCAACACACACACTGCAGCAGCAAACGCTTGCACAGCAGCAGCAGCAGCAGCAGCAGCAGCAAACACCAGCTGCTGCGCCGCCTCGATGCCCTACTAGGGTTAGTTAAGGCTATAGGGTTTACTGAGGGTTTAGGGTTAATGGGGAGTATAGGGTTTATTGAGGGTTTAGGGTTTAGGGTTTAGGGTTTATTGAGGGTTTAGGGTTTATCTTGCCTGCTGCAGCCTCGCAGAGGCAAATTCTTCTCTCTATTTCATTCAAGAGAAGGCGGGTCTGATCGGTGGAGACAGATTCTGCTGTCTGCTGCTGCTGCGGCGGCAGCAGCAGCTGCTGCTGCTGCTGTTGCTGCTGCTGTTCTGCATCGGAATCTTGCTGTTGCTGCTGCTTTGGCTGCGCCGCGGCGGCCTGCCGCTGCTGCGCTTCTCGCTGCTGTTGCTGCTGTTGCTGCTGCTGCTGCTGTTGTTGTTGCTGCTGCTGCTGCTGCTGTGGCGGCATCTCCTGTTGCTGTTGCTGCTGCTGTGGCGCCTCCGTTTGTTGCTGTTGCTGCGGCGCCTCTGATTGCTGCTGTTGCTGTTCTGCCTCAGCAGCAGCAGCTGCAGCAGCTGCAGCAGCAGCAGGTGGCGTCTCCCCAGCCATAGTCGGAGCTCACTGTAGATATTCTAGTCTTGAATGTCTTGCTTGCTGCTAGCTGTTGTTGCTGTCTCTGCTGCTGCAAAGCTGCTGCTGTTGCCCTACAGTTAATGCAACAGCGGCACCAGAAGTTGCTGCGGCTGCTGCAGCTGCTGCTGCTGCCGCAGCAGCTGCAGCAGCATTAGGACAGCACACCGGCCCGCCCAGAGGACCAGCAGCAGCAGCAGCAGCAGCGGGAGCAGCAGCAGCGGGAGCAGCAGCAGCGCGAGCAGCAACAGCAGCAGCAGCAGCAGGGGCTGGCGACGGGCCTCGGGGATATCTGTACGAGGAGGGAAGCCGAAGGATAAGCAGAAAGCTCAAAAGGAGTTGAAGAGTGTTAGAGTAAACCCTAAACCCTAAACCCTAAACCCTAAGACTTCAGGAGGCGGGTTGAGGGCCCCCTGCACGCGTCGGCGTTCTATTAGCAAATGTTTTGACTTTTTATTTTTTATTAAATTAATATGCAGCAAAATAAACTCAAAAGAAATCCTTCAAACGAAATAACTGCAGCAATAACAGCAGCAGCAGCAGCAGCAGGATCAGCAGCAGCAGCAGCAGCAGCCAGCGACGGCAGCAGCAGCAGCAGGGGCTGTGTAAGCAGCAAGAAGTTTTTTAAAGCGCACATTATTATTTTACTTTTTAAATGAGTTTGTAATTATTTATTTATTTACTTTTAATCCGTCTACGTCTCCTCAGCTGCTGTTTGCTTCTCTCTTTTTGCTGCTGTGTCTCCCTGTACACTTCAGAGTGCTATATTTATCTTTTCTTTTCTAGCGATGCAATGGGGCTTCGTTTATTTTCATTAGAAGATGCATTTACCCCTTCAATTGCGTTATTATTTTGCTTCTTCTATTGCTGCAACAGCAGCAGCATCATCAGCAGCAGCAGCAGCAGCAGCTCGCTGCTGCTGCTGCTGCTGATATATTGCTGCAGCAGCTGGCTGCTTAACCGCTTTCCTTGGCTGCTGCACCGCCGCCGCAGCAGCAGACTTGAGGGGCCCCCTCCTGTTTGTACAGCTCATAGAGGAGGTCAAGCGGAAGCCCCTGAGAATACTTTGCATGCGTTTAAGTATGCAGTTGAAGAGTGCTGCTGCGATATGCTTGAGCTTGATGTATGGATGACAAAAGATAAACATTTAGTTGTTACACATGATGATAATCTAAAAAGAATTACAGGACAAGAGGTGTATGTACACTGCACTAATTATAAAGATCTACCCCCTGTTCTTTCTTCTGCTGAGCTGGAGAGCATGCATCTACCTAAACAACGCAAGCAACAACAACAGCAGCAGCAGCAACAGCAGCAGCAGCAGCAGCAGCAGCAGCAGGAGACAGATGATTGCAGCGATGAGTTGTTTATGGAGTTTTACCCCGAGTTTTGCGGCTATCCTTATCCTTTTGAGCGACAGCGTATACCTTTGTTAGAAGAAGTTTTTAAGTCTTTTACAGATGTTATAATAAATATTGATATAAAGGGTGATTATGATGAAGAAGCAATACAAGAGACAGTTAATCTTGTTAAAAAGTATAAAAGAGAGAGAAAAACAATATTCGCAGGGTTCATGCAGCGAAAACTAGATAAGATCAAAGAGCTGCTTCCTGCTGCTATTGTTGCTGTCGGGCCTCAGAGAGTTATTCTACTGTCTCTTTGTTACTTCTTAGGTCTTATGCCTTTCATATCTATATATGAAGATGTGCTTGAGTTTCCTGCATCTAGAGAATATATTTACAGAGAAGCAAGAAGAAGAAGAAAACGCAAAGAGAAGCAGGTGCATGCAGCAGCAGCAGCAGCAGCAACAACAACAGCAGCAATTGCAGCAACAATAGCATCATTTGTATATAGATTTTCAGAGAAGGTAGAGATAACAATATCTTTTATTCTGTTTTTTAATAAAGGGTTTATTAAAGCATTAAAACGTAGAAATGTTATTATTCTAGGATGGGTGCTCAATAAAGAAGCAGATTATTATTCTGCCTTCTCGGACTTATTATGCGACGGTTTAATGACAGACAGACCTAAACATCTTCGCGACTATTTAAATAAAAATAAAAATAAACATTTAATACAAAATAAACTCAAAAATCTATAGACGTCTACTCTTTTTAATAAGACAAAGACAAATATATCAAGACTATTATTATATATATATATATATATATATACATATATATATGTATATATATGTATTATATATATATACGTATATATATAAATTAATTAAATGCATTTGGAGGCAACAGACGAAACAAAGAGGAAAAATTAACGGAGACGGAGACAAAGACAAAAGGAGACAGAGACGAAGACAGAAGGAGACAGAAGGAGACAAAGAGAGCATATATACATATATATATACATATATATTTATATATATATATATATATATATTTATATATATATAT